CAAAAACATCGCATATTTTATTGGAATTTATAACATCACAACATTATACAATTTATATACGATATTATATTATTATAAATATAATTTTGAAACTTTTTGAGCAGTTAATAGACGTTTTAAATGTTTGAATTATTTTCGTGTTAATCTGATACAGTTTTTGGTGAAATATTTTAAAATTATAATACAATGTTTCCCATATGGTTCTTATGGCAAATTAAATTATCTAAAATACATAGTAATAATTATCAGATATATAAACGAAAAATAACGATTTTTCCTCAATAGATTTTAATTATTTTATTGTTACTCAAACAATACCACTATTAGGACTTAAGTAAGTACCTTTTACTTTTACTTTTATAATATAGGCTATATAATTAATGATTATTTTCTATTAAGTTCTATGGGTTATGGGTATTTTCCAAAAATATTTTTTCGATAAGTACCTACTTGTTAGTCATTAACCGTCGCCGAGCTGTGTACAGGTTATACAGGTTTATGTCCTGCAGTTTCCCGTCACGCCTAATAATATTATTCCCAGACACCTGAATATTGTCGACCAAACTAGTTTTTAATGGTTTCATAAAAATCCCCAATTCATTGACAACGATTTTTTCATCAGTCTAAAATCATTTTGTATAAGATCCCGAATAAGCTGCAGTTCCTTATAGCAATTTAGAAATACATAGGCATTGGCATAGGCATGGTTTATTTTTTAAGTTTTTAAAGTTCACATTTAAACAAAATCGCTAATATTTGCAAATTATTTTGTAGTTAAAATATTATATGATATCCAATTTTTGTAGCTTAGCTTAGGCTATACAAGGTTCTTCATATTATGTAATACTTACTAAACATCAAAAATATAAGGCATGATTTAATTTTTATAGACTTTTGAAGTAAAAATCTTGTTGTGATATTTAAATAAAGAACGTTCCAAATTAATTTAATAAAAAAAAAATAAAGATAGGTATTTAAAAAAATTCTGAAAAATAAACTACTTGACTTAGATAAATAGATAGTTTTTATCGTCAAAATTGTTCTTATAATTAGATTCACAAATCGGCTATTTTGAATTTATCCAAAAACATTTTAATCAAATTTTTTATTTTTTATTTTCAGAATTAAAAAATAAAATAATTTTTATATTTATACGTGTAGAGCAAGTACCTATAAATTATAAATGAAAAAAATAATTCAAAATAATGATTAGAACAAAAATTATTTCATCTGTCAGGTCTTAAAATGTAATTTTAAGTTATCGTCTATTTATACCATGACAATTCTATGTTAACAATAATAATTATTACCTATATTAACTTATCTAATTTATAATAAATTACATAATTCATTTACTATTATAATTGTAATGTAAAAGCGATGTTTTGGGAAAATAATGGGTAAATAAATTTACTATAGTATCAATATAAATACATATTAAAATATAAAAAGACCACTGCGCACCCCCCCCCAAAAAAAAATAAATTAAAATTAAGTATTGTTAATATTGGTAGACAGACGGTTTCCGCTTATAATCGTTTTTCGAATGCAATAATTTATCATTGTATTCAAATTTAACACATCCATTATAAATGCGCTCAACCACTATACTGTACAGCAGAGTGGACTTTTGGTTACCTACTTGCCCAATTTGTGTCCTTATTATTATTCCTTGTACTAACTTAAATAGTTAAATCAATAATTGTATATATTTGTACCTATTTGTAGGTATTTATTGTAAATTAAATAAAATGGGAGAAATTGTATTTTAGATTCTAAGTGGAACGATGAATGTATTGATTTTACAATGATGAGTTTTTTTTTTTATTTTTTTATTAATTTTTTTATTTTTGTGTCCGTCATCACTTTTTAGGACAGTTAAATTGCTTGGATATTGTTAGACAGTATCTTTTCTGATAGGAAAGTGGATCTAGTTGGTACTTTGGGGGTCAAAAGTATAATTTTTCCAGTAGTTTTCAAACGCGTCATGAAAAAACAAAAAAAAAATTAAGAGAAAACGGGTATTTTTAAGCAAAATCTGTTTTCGAAAAAGTCTATTTTGGTTTTTGGTGCAACTCTTAAAAAAATTACCTTAGATACGTGAAATTTTGACTGAATGTTTATATTATCATGTTCTATACACCATAACATTTTACAAATATTTTGACTCATTTTGAGCTATATTTACGAACATTTTTAGTTTTCAATTTTCTTAGTTTTTTCTTCTATAAATATCAATCAAATGTTATTTGTTGGGTAAAAAAGCTTGACAATTTAATGCAAGGCGTCTGATATATTGTAACAATAACAGTTGAAAAATATTAATAATATATAGGTATATTTTTTTTAAATTTTCAAAATATTTTCATTTATTTTGAACTGTTTAGGGACATTTTCAGTTTCCTTTTTTTTTAGTTTTTTTTTTCTATAAATATCAATAAAATTTTATTTGTATTTTAAAAAAGCTTGAAAATTTAATAGAAGGCTCCTAACTAGTATATTGTTTCAAAGGCAGATGAAAAAAATTAAAAATCCATAGTCTCAATTTTTTTTTATAAGCAATTTAAAGTTCAAATATTGACAAAATAAGTAAAAATGACGAAAATTTGCAAATTATTTCGAGTTAGAAATTCATAAAAAATATTATTTTTAAATCTAAGATTTGAAAATGTAGTACAAGATTCCTCATAAGTTTTTCTACCTTTATAAAAAAAAAAAAATGTCTACAAGAAACTAAAATTAAATTTTTATGAGCGTTTGAAATTCATATTTTTACAACATTTGATATTCACTCGATTTCTCATGTAACGATTTTCTTATTTTGTTGTAATATTAAAAAACTAATGACTATAGATACTTGAAAATTCCACTGAATGTTTATATTAGCATTTCCTATTCACCATACAATTTTGAAAATATTATGACTTGTTATGAGCTTTTTACAGACAATTTCATATTTCAATTTTTTAATATTTTTATTCTATGAATATCAATAAAGTTTTATCTGTTGAGCCAAAAAGTGTAAAAATGTAATACAAGGCTCCTGATATATTGTTATAATAGTAGTTGAAAAGTATTAAAAATACACAGGCAAAATTTTTTTTTATAAACATTTAAATATCGAATTTCGACAAAATTTATCAAATTTAAAATTGAATGATTGTTTTGTAGTTAAAAATGTATAAAATGTTCAACTTCTATATCTAAGGATTGAAAATTTAAAACAAGATTCCACGTACATAGTTAATTCTGTTACCAAAAAATCTAAAAACTACATTTGCACAGTTTATTTTTATAGTTGTTTTAAGTTCAAATTTGGACGAAATTACATATTAAAAACCTATAATAACTATTTTAGTTATTTTGTGTGATTGTATAATATTTTTCGTGGGTACTTGAAACTTCTAAAGTATACTACTATATATCTATGATAATATCACGGTTTTTTATTGATGTACAACGTGTTATAAGTACCTAATGGATATTGAGATATGATGAATTTGGAATTTATTCTAGGTACCTATTATAGGTATTTATTATCGGTCAATTTTATTTTTAATACCATAGATATGTCTCATACCTGGACTGACATACCATCTCCACTCAGAATCGTTTTTCTTATACAATGATATTCTATCATTGAATTCAAATTCAATACCATCCATTAGACAGTGACCCACTTGTAACCTACTGTACAGCAGAGCACCTTTTTTTCTGTGAATGTCAATCAAACTTTATTTGTTGGGTGAAAAAGCTTTAAAATGTAATACAAGGCTCCTACTATATTGTTACAATAGCAGTTGAAAAATATTAAAAATCCTTAGTGGCAATTTTTTTTATAAGTACCTATTTTAAGTTCAAATCTTGACAAAATACGGAAAAATCACGAAAATTAGCAAATTATTTTGAGTTGAGAATTCATAAAAAATTTTCTTTTTAAATTTAAGATTTGAAAATGTAATACAAGATTACTCGTAAGTTTATCTATTTCTATCAAAAAAAAAATGTCTACAAGCAAATCAAATTAAATTTTTATGTCGAGCGTTTGAGTTGATATTCACTCGATTTCTCATGTAGCGGTTTTGATATTTCATTGTTATTCAAAAACGAATAACTGTAGATACATGAAAATTTTACTGAATGTTTATACTTTCATTTTCTATACACCATAAAAATTTGAAAAAATTTTGAATCTTTTAGAGCTGTTTATGGACACTGTCAGTTTTCAATTTTCTTAGTTTTTCTTCTATATTTCTTTCTATATTCAATACAATTTTATTTGTTGGGTGAAAAAGTATGACAATTTAATGAAAGGTTTTTGATATATTGTAACAATAAAATTTAAAAAATATTAATAATACATAGGCACAATTTTTTTTTATAAGTATTTAAAGTTCGAATTCTGACAAAATTTATCAAATTTAAATGTAATAATTATTTTGTAGTTAAAAATGTATAAAATGTTCAACTTTTATAGCTAAGGATTGAAAATTTGAAACAAGGGTCTACGTTAATAGGTTATATATAAATTACTTTATTCGCCTTAGTATCATCAAATATACTTCGTAATATCATAGGCTAACTAACCGTTTTCGCTCAGAATCGTTTTTCTTATACAATGATATTAGTATATCATTGAATCCAAATTTAATACCATCGATTATACAGTGACCCACTTGTACCCTACTGTACAGCAGAGCACCTTTTTTATGTTATAACCGTATTAGTACATGGTGGGCCTGTCTCTATATTGTACATGGAATTTCAAGTACGTATCTTCTAAAACATTAAAGATTTATTTTAAAACAAAAATGAAAAATAATAAATTTTTTGTCGTGGCCACCTAGGATTAATATGAAATTATTTTTTACTCAAACATTTTTGTTTTCCAGTAATTATGGTGCAGCGGCAGCAAAAAGGCGCGGGAGTGGTCGACAGCAACCACACTAACGCGATTCGCTGTTTTCGGTTCAGATCTATATCTTTGCCATAGTGTAATGATGGCACGATCGTACGTAACCGTATGGTTTGTTGCGTGGGTGTGCTGGTCGGCAGCCATAATCGTCGGTGCCAAGGTGATGAAATGCTGTCCCAGGGACATGATATTGGCGATCGACACGTTCTCGTGCACGGGCTTCGTGACAAATGACCAGAATCAGCGCGAGTCGTACACTTGGTCGTCGTCGGACGACTCGGCCGCGACAACCATACCAGAAGACTTCGCGTTGTCCGTCTCTAACAGCAGCTCTATACCATGGTCGGTAATGCTTAAATAAGTATACGAAATATTTTTCATCATGCGTTGTGTAAGCAATTAACATTGACTTAAGTGGATTTACAATTTTTAAGTATGGACAAGTTAGGAATGTATCATGTGTTCACTTTACTCGATTTTTGTGAGAAAAAAATTTATTTTAAAACTAATCATTTGTTCGACCACCTGCTAAGATGACAATTTCGAGGGGAAAAAATGTAAAAAAGTGTAACGAATTTTGTAGTAGGTACCTACAGTACGGCCACTACGACTTCATCAAGACCACTTTACCCGGAGACTTCGCTCTCTCATAGTCTTTCCGTCTACATATGATATAAGAGCCAAAGGTACAAAAATTACACATGTTTTGCACCAAAATCGATATAATATTATATATAATAGTAGTTATTTAAAAATATGTCGATCTTATAACAAATTGTCAATAAATAAAATAGAAATTAATAAATTTTAATAAATCGGTTGATTTTTTCGATATTATAAAAAATTGTCATTAATAAATTGGTAAAATATAATATATTATCGGATTATCCCTAAAAATTTAATATCTATTAACCGCAGCACACAGGTAGGTATCAACGATTTTGGCGTTTCGTACGATACAACTTTTTTTCTTATCTAATTTTAGCTCTTATGTCTTCTACCGATCAGCAGCCCTAGTCGTTAAAGCTAAAATATACATACGAAATATTTTTATATTGTATTGTGTACTTTGGTAAGCAGTAATTATTAACGTAAGTGGATTGTAACTCGACGAGTTAGGTTTTGAAGCGTGGACAACAATTTCGGCTGAACACAATATTAAAAAAATATGTATTCCAAATTCCTGAGTTGGTTAGTTCATAATATTAGGTTAGGTTTATACTTGGTCCAGTATTATTCAAATATTCTATATTTCGGATTCGTTTGACTATATATTGAAAACTGAAAACTCACTTCCGATTTGTATATGCCTCCTCAGGTGGATACCGCCCTACATGGAGTTCCTGCAGGCCTCAAATCTGTCGGACAAGTTCGAACCGGACGACGGGTCGTTCGACGTGGACGGCACCATGCCTTGCGAAATGGCCTCCCGCGAGATGACCGTCATCGACGACGACGTGGCAGTGCTGGACGACGGGCGGCTGGTAATGTTCGGACAGGAAAACCGGTCGGCCGGCGCTTACGAGCGGCTGACGTTCACTAGCACCGAGTACTGCATCGACCGCATATCACTGGCGGACAGCATCACTCCGAACAACAATAACAGCCACAAGACGACCACGTCGACGACGACCACCGCCGCTACGACGACCGCCAAGGACGGAAGCCGCTTGGGAAACTCGTCCACCGTCGCCCCCGAAACGCATGTCACGTACACGTACGTGGCGCTGGTGTGCCGGCCGTGCACGAGGATGACGTGCGTGCCGAAGTGCTGCGGCAAGGGTCTTATGCTCGGGGTGTACCAGAAGCACAACAAGAGCGAAGTCGGGTGCCGGAAAATGCAGTCCGTGGACAACGCCACCGCCGCCATACAAATGAAACTCGCCAACGGGACGGAACTGCGGCGTGAGTGTCTCCCTTACCTAGTCGTTTTGTCGATATTACACTATTACTGTGGCACCGTTTGAGTTATTTTTTTATAGCGGAGCAAACATATAAGTTGGTAAGCCAATTTTCGTGGCGGTGATTATATAATAACGACAATATTATATCATAATGGTGTTATTATTGTTGTACAAACGAAATCGCTGAAAGGGTAGAAATAGCTTTTGGCCATGCATATAAATAATATTATGTACCTATACTATATGTTATACGGTAAAGTAGAACCTTGATTATCCGAACTTTCGTTAGACGAACTCTCTGAACTGCAATAATTGATGTATCCAAACGTCAATTATACGCGTTATATAACTTGTGGTGCTCGTATAATGTAATGATTATACCTATATATATATAAATATATAATAACTTCAATAATAATAATTATTATATATTATAATATAGTATAATGTTATGTATGATTTTTGTGATATGAACATATTAAATAATATATAATATATATCAATATATGTATTTAAATAGTATGTAGTATTAAAAAATGTCCAGTATCCGAATTTTCGAGTTTTCTAACTAGGTATACGGTTCCAATTAGTTTGGATAATCTACGGATATTAGTTCGGAGGTTCTACTGTAGAGAGTTTGTAATTTGCACATAGATAAACATAATAATATGTAATTTGCATCACTGCTGAGTAGCCAAAAATAATGTTTGTAATTTGCACTAAATGATTATCTATGTAATCGATTATTGCGTATTTGATTGTCAAGTGATTTGATTATTCGTTGGTAACCTCGTTGACCCGCAGTGGTATGAAAGACAATTTTAGCTTGCCAATACTATTTCATTGTTTTTTTTTATCAATAGTTTATCTCTACTCTACAATATTCAAATTCTAAACGAATTTATTAATATACACTCGTTTTATAGAGCTGTTTTTATAAATCACCTACATAATTTGATTGATATCTACTTCATTACTTTCATGCCTTTTAAAGTTTTTAAATATATATCTTTATTTATACAGTCTGTTGTTATGATATTATCCAAATCCTAAATGTAATAATAACAGGTTATTATTTTATTATTATTAATATTTTTTTTAGTACAATATACCATTACCATATTACGCTGTCAAAAAGTGTTTTAATGGTTTTTAATTGTTTGAAGAATGGTACTTAAATATACACAGTCTTACTTTAATTTATGTACCTTGTAAAGGAAATTATAATGGATATTTAAATGGATTTAAATAATATTTTTACCTAAAACAATGCAATTATTATAATTTATAATATTATTATAATATAGGTACACAATATGTTTGTCAATTATCATATTATAATGTTGTTATATAGGTTGTTGTTAATATGATTTTAAGTTAATACTGACTTACCGTGGGCCGGTGTACATAGGTAAATTAATTAATAACCATTCAGAATCTATAAACAGAATATTCTGTGTCTTTAGCTTGTCATATCACAATATATTATACTCTAATATCGAAACTTGTACGTATACGTTACCGGTAACCGGTAACCTATTACCTAGGTACTATCGAAAGCATAATCGATTACAAATTATTTTCGGTGCAAATTACAATCACAGTTTAAAAACATTTGGTGTAAATTTCATATTATGTTGTATATATTTAGGATTAATTTTGGTGTAAATTGACTACACTCCTACTGTATATGCCCAAAAGTCCTATACCAGTCAAAATATCTTTGTGAGATCTGACACATCTATATATTTAAATTTTAAATGTAGTATTAGAGAAAAAATGAAAAAAAAGACTGTTATTATTATTATTTGTTACACCATACTATTGTAAATTGTGTTGTTTTACTTATTTAACTTAGTGCCAGTTATGTTTTTTGGTTGTTCAACTTATTAAGTGTATCCGTAGAAATTTTCCAACAAAAATCAGCTACCATAAATTCTTACACTGTTCATTTTTTTCCATGGCCAAATTAAGGAATCGTTACCCTCTTATTAATTTGATCAAGTACTTATAATTTTCTGCGATAATATTGATGTATATAGTATATAGTATATTAGTATGTATGGGTAAACATCAAATGGCAAATGAGCTGAAATTAAAAATCATTGAGATAAATAATTATAGTAAAGTATTAATTATTCATTTAAAAAAAAAATTATTATTCATAATAATTTAGAACTATCATAACTTTAAATTAAAACATAATTACCTATATATAATAATATTATATATTATAATATATTATATTATTATTATCAGGAGTGTTCTATAAATGCTTATATATAAAATTACAAATCGAATAATAGGTATGTGTCATAACTTCATGCATATTTAAAACAAATAAATAATTCTAATATTTAATAAATTAGATAATATAATATGATTTTAAATTTGAATGAAAGTGGACATGATTCTATAGTTGAAAATGTGTGGAGGAAAGCGGAAAGTAAGTATTAGGTACCCATACTGTTATATTTTTCCGGAAGAAAATGAACAGCGGAGGTGACGGTACTTATCTCATTTTTGGGGGAAAATGGTCCCGCCCAATGACAATGTACGCAAAGCGTGTAACGCACTTATCTCGTCCGCAGGTAAGGACCTCTACTTCTTCGGCTTAAAGCCGCCGAACTGCGGTTCCCGTGGCTGGTACCTGCTTGGTGCGGACACGAAAAAGGGAAGCGAGGACGCAAAAAATCAGGAGACCGGGATCCCGAAAAAGCAAGCGAGCTACGGTCTGCTGCCGGACGGCCGCGTGCAGGTGGACGGCGGCGTGTTGCCCATCGAGCGCGACGACTACTGCGTGGACGCGATGCAGGCCGGCACGAAGACGTCGCCGCCCACGTACACGGGTGTGATGCTCGCCTGCCGACTGGCCGCCGGTGTCGCGGACGCCGCCGGACCGCTCAAGTTCCGCGAGATACTGTACGGCACCTACTTCGTGGTCGGCACGATTTTCCTGGCCGCCACGCTGCTCATATACGCTGTGCTGCCCGAGCTCCGCGTCACCGTCCACTCGGGCAACCTGATGGCGCACACCGTCTGCTTGTTCGTGTCGTACGCCACGCTCGCAGCCACCACGCTCGTCCGCCGAATGTTCAACAGTTGTGCATGCGTCATTGCCGGTAAACTATAATAGTTGTCGTTACTTATAATCTGCAGGGCTTGTTATTTCGTGTTCTAAGAAACGCCAGAATATAGGTTTGCAACTAAATGCTCCAAAAAATGCTCAGATGTACACTTAAATGTGCAGTAAAATACCTCAGTCTTACAATAATAACTCATTATATTATGAAAAAAAAAGTATGTCAATTTATATATTTGATTTATAAACCAAACTTAAACAAATCCTTATATTTGTTATTTATAAAAATTGTATGCAAATAGATTTGGTTTTTGATAAGATATTTTTAAGAAATTGGTACGTACATGGAAACTACTAACAACTTACATCAAAACTATTAACATTGTGTTAAAAACATTTAAATTTAATAATATTAAATGATTTTTAACCGTGAAAAATACTTGATCATGTTAAATATGTCAAAACGTAATATAACAAGTATATAATATTATTAAATGTAAAGTACAATTTCATGTAATGAATTCGGTCACCTTGAACCTAAATCCCATATTACCTATGACGTTCAACAGGACTTGGCAAGATTTATATATAAATACATGGGCGTGCTCGACGAGGGGTTAGGGTAAATGGATTTTTTTTGTGTGTTGTGTTAATGTTTCTTTGAAACGTCCATTGCTATATACAAATGTACATAAAATAGGCAGGTAGACACATTCTTGTGTGACGGCCGACTGGCGGCAACTCTCCTCGCCATGGGTAGGCTTGTTTTGTTATTTACGCGTTTTTATCTTAATAAATCTCTTCGGCGCCGATACCTAAAGACAGGATTTTAAAACGGGTCCTCTTTTGTGTGTGCGAGGGTGGGTGCGCGTGCGTGTGTGTGTTTGTGTGAGAGCGTAGCGATACCTTTTCTGATATTTTATTAAGAAAATATTTATTTTATTATAATCGTATATACGAACGTGACTGAGTGTTTGGTATACAGTCATACGAAACAAAGATTAACAAATATTTGGCTATGCGGAGACTTTTCGTTTTACACACGGTATACGTTATTTGTTTGGTTTTTTCCAAATATTCGTCTTCAAGTTAGACAGTCGTCTCTTTTACAACAATTTACTATTTTATAAAATTAAATAATTACAAATTACATAAAAATCTGTAAATGATAATCGAAAATAATCAACATACAAAAAAAAAAAAATTAAAATTTTTTTATTATAATTGTACTCTACTTTATACATTTAATGATTAATATTTTTTCTTAATGACTGAATTTCCAGACTGATTGAATTTATGTTTAAATATTTACTCGACTTAAAGATTAAAATATCATATCACTGCAGTCTATCACCATTAACCAGTTGTCCATATTACATTACTGATAAATATTTGACCTTTGCAGTTTGCTTATTAAACAATAAACCAAGCTGTAGGTTTAAAATAAACAAAAAATAAAATATAGAGTGGTGTAAAGATAATTTAGACTAAAATTATTTCTTTTTTACTTAACTCCAAATAAGATTTAGGTGTATGATTTATATTAAATGTTTTTTTTAATGTGTCAATAAACTGTATGTTTTTCCATTATTTAGATTCAAATTTGATCGAAAAAACCAAGAAATGGTAAATAACATCTTGTACACTACTGACACTACTGAGATCTATATTTTTACAAATAATTATTTCGTATTAACAGCTAGGTTACAAACCTATAACTTGTATTAATATATGAATATAAGAATTTATTTAATTAATTAAATTTTGTATAATATTATAATATTAAACAGTTCACCGTACTCAACTGGAAGTGCTAACTTTCATGGATTTATTGTATACTATAAAATTATTAAATATTGAAATACGATTATTTACCTACCTATAAATATTAATATATTGGCGGAAGTATAAAACTATTTAAATTTTAAATAAGAAATTTGGAAACCTATTTTAATATGCACCCATAATAGTTAATAATAATGCAAATTAATTGTCAAAACTATAATGTTGACTGTCCACGTGTGTACTAAGTATGTACGCAGTGGCGCACTAGACACTTGGAGGCCCTAAAGTCGAATATAAAATGGGGCAACCTAGCAAAAAATGTAAATGGTCTTAAATAATTAAAAGTACACGGTATACCGCTTCCTCTCCACCCAAAATGTAATCAAAACATTTCCATTGTTTATTATAATATATTATATATAAAAGAGAAATGGAAATCTTTGCTACGGGTTGGCTCTGAAAATGCATGACCGATTTGGCTGTTTCTTTTTTTTATGTGTTCGTAATTTTATTAATAAAGGTTAATATGAAAGACAATTTTAGGAAAATCCACCTGAAAAGTAGAATACTTGGAAAGCAGAAATGCAACAGTGGCATCATATGTCCAGCAAAAAAAAAAAAATTAATTAAACAATAATAAATTAATAGTATTAAATAGAAGTTTTACTATCCAATTTATTAATTTATTGCTAATTTATTTATACATATAAACCATTTTTAACAGGCAACAAAGTGCATGGGGTCAGTTAGTAATTTCATAACATTAAATATAACCGTATGAACTAACTTTTTTTTAATATTATAAATTTATAAAATAGAATAAGTATTTATATTTCTAGTTTTTTGTAAAAAATCATCTACAAAACGCTCTACAAAATATTGAGAACTACAATAGTAGAGAATATCAACTCTTGATAGTTTATATAACATACAATATTAAAGTGCAATTCAGATGTGCCAATATAAAATTTATATTGAAGTATAGAATATTTTTTTATATGCCTATTATCATTGAATATAGTTCAATTATAGAATTTATTAAAAAATACCTAAAAGTTTTGATATTAGACCCTCATTAAATCCAAACTGGTGGTTCTTTGTTCTTTTGCCTTGCGTTTAGCAAAACTACTTAAAAATACTTCAAGATTACGTAAATAGAAAATAGGTAATATTATACTAATAAAGAAATTTAAGTCTAATAAATCTTTTATAAATTCGCCTTCTTGTCCTTAGAACTTAACTAATATATAGATTTGTCCATAAGCTAAACGTATACTAAAATAGTAAATAGAATAAATAATATAAACGTATCATTAAAATTGAAATTATCATATTATTATTATATTCATATAATTATTTATTATAAGATATAAAACACACGCGAAAAACACAACTAAATAAATTTCAAGACTTAACACTCAAAAGTCGAGACTGTTAACACTGTAACAAATAATATTTTATATTGTTAGGTAATTGATAGGTAATATTTGATATCTACGTATAATATTCAAATATTACCTATTTGCATTGAGGGTGACAGTGAAAATTCTCATTTATGATATATCCATCACAATGTAATTACAAAAAATATGTATTGGTAAACATTATTTTCAAATTGATTTAACATAGGTCCTTGTTATAATAATAATACAACTAGACTGTTGATTGTTGTATACATTTTAGAACACTATTCTTGGCCTCCATTAATCCATGGTAATGATTTTATAATATTATTAAATCAATAACTCGTAGTTTAATATAGGTAATCCATTGGCTATTAACAATAACTATTAAAATAACAGTATATTATGTAATTATAGTATAACCATCTCATTTTAATGTAGATGTTTATAAAAAAATATTGGTAATAATCTTAATAATTATAAAATGTGAAAAAATACTAAAATTCAATTTTTACTGTAGAGGCCCCGATAAATCGGGGGCCCCAAAGTTTCACTTTGCTAACTTACCCGCTAGTTGCACCACTGTATGTACGGTATGAGCAACAGTATACGTAAACTAAAAAACAAAAATAAAAAGCCATTTTAGGGTACTAACAGCTTCTGATATAATAGCATAGTATCACTCGGGCACTCGGCATAAATGCATAATATAATAACGTCATATTATTTTGATTATACTTATAAATTGTAATATGTGTACAAAATACGCTATACACTACATCGTGTAGATATTATAATAGTACCTATATAGTATAACTATTTGGTGGATATTCTAAATAAAATGTAAATTATTAATAATATAACATAGGTTATAGCCGTTATAGGTATATTTTGTTCAGACTAAGCCCAAGGGCTCTGAGTGAATTACTCAAGTTTAAATCGTTTACTGAACAATTTAATTAATTCAAATGTTGTCCATTTCTAACAACAAGTAACAACCCACAATTTCGCACCTAGGACTGAAATTAACTATTATTCTTTATTTATATCCCTTACTATTATTATTGTCTTTATCCTGTCATTCTTATAATTAATAATTTAAATTAATGTATGTACACTGTATTTTATATTCCGATTGGCGTTAATTATTAAATAAAATAAAAATGATAAGTAATTAAAAACATACAAATCTGTGTCACCTATTTGCGTATCTGATCATTAATAAAACTGAATAATAATAATATTTTAAATTATTTATAATGATAATTAAAAAAAAAAATTTTTCGCCCAACGTGGGGCTCGAACCCACGACCCCGAGATTAAGAGTCTCGTGCTCTACCGACTGAGCTAGCCGGGCTGACGAAAATTTTACGAGATTTTATACTTCTTTGCTAAGTGCCTATGTATCTTAATATTTTTCATGCCTGGCGCCTGGCTTGGTTTGGTTGTGTATAAAAATGTACTTACTAGGCCGTAGGTCATTATAAATAGTTGACGATTAATGTACATGGTCAAGTCAAGAAGCACATAAACAAGTTTAATATAAACTTTAAACAAAAAAAATCGATTACAACTGTTGAACTGTGTAACTTAAACAATAAGTTGTAAAATATTATGTTATAAGTACCTATCTACCTAATAAATTAATTAAATTAAAAGTGTGTTGTAGGTACCTATAGTAGTCACTCATAACAAACTTTTTTAATTAGCCATTACTTTTTAGTGTATTATTTTTGTATATATTTTGAGCTGTTTATTCGCCTTATTTATCTGAAAAATATTATATTAGCTTTAAACATTTACTCTCATTCCTTGGAATAATATGTATTAATAATAGCTAGATAGTATTGTTATAGACTTATAGTACTGTATTAGTTGGTGAATTTTATATAAATAAGCACGTTCCAACATTATGATATTCATATTATTATAATACCTACAGTTAGATACCTGCAGTATACCACATTACCACCTATAATAGTCTATACTAATTACTAGGTAGGTATATATTTTTATTAGGTAGGTACCTAGGTACATAATTATATTATTTTAGATTCTGAGCGGAGCGATTTTACAATGATGTTTGTGTTTTTTTTTTGTGGACAGTAAAAATGATTAGATTTTCTTCAACAGTATCTTTTCTAATAGGAAAGTGATTGTAGTTGGTACTTTCAAGGGTCAAATGCGAAAAATTGTCAGTAGTTTTCGAAAGCGCAGGGAAAACCAAAAGAAAAATTAAGGAAAAACGGACATTTTTAAGCAAAATAAGTTTTCGACAAAATTTTGGTTTTTGATATAACTTTAAAATAAATGATTGTAAATACAGGAAATTTTCACTGGTTGTTTATATTAACATTTAATATACACGATAAAATTTTGATTAGTTTTGAACTGTTTACGTTTTCAGTTTCATATTTTTTTAGTATTTATTTCTATGAATGTCAATAAAATTTTATTTGTTAGGTAAAAATCTGAAAAATTTAATTCAAGACTCCTAATATATTGTTACAATGACACTTGTGAAATATTAAAAATCAATAGTCACAATTTTATTAGTTATTATTTTTTATTAGTATTTAAGGGATACATCTTGAAAAAATACGTAAAAATGACGAAAATGTGCAAATTATTTTGAGCTAGAATTTCATAAACATTTTTGTTTTTAAATCTAAGGTTTGATAATGGAATACAAGATTCCTCAAAGGTTTGTCTAACTTTATAAAAAATGTCTAAAAGAAACTAAAATTACATTGTTACGAGCGTTTGAAGTTACAACATTGCATATTTAGGTACCTACTCGATTTCTCATGTTGCTATTTTCTTATTTTGTTGTAATTCGAAAACGAACAACTGTAGATACATGAAAATTTGACTGAATGTTTATATACTCATTTTCTATACACCATAACTTTTTTTTTCTATAAACATCAATACAATTTTACTTGTTGGGCCAAAAAGCGTGACAATTGAATTCAAGGCTCCTTATATATTATTACTTTAGCAGTTGAAAAATATTAAAAATGTATAATATACATATTATTATGCATATTATGCACATTTTTTTTTTATAAACATTTTACGTTCAAATTTCGATTAAAATTTAAAAATTATTTTGAAGTTTAAAATTTATAAAATGTTAAATTTTTATAGCTAAGGATTGTAAATTTAAAACAATGTTCCACGTAAATCGGTTACAAAGTTACATTATATAATATATAAATATTGCTTCATTCACAATTATATCATAAATTAATATACTTAGTAATATCATAGGCTGACGGTCCTGTCTTCGCTCAGAATCGCTTTTGTTTTACAATGATAATATATTATTGAATTAAAATTTAACACAATCCATTTCAGTGACTAGCTTGTAACCTACTGTACAGCAGGGCGACACCCACTTGCCCACCTTTTTTCATATATTTATATTTTATTTAATAAAATTTTCCTTATCATATATAATAAATAATATTTCGAACAGTATATTATTTATATTGTAATAATTATTATATTTTAGGTAATTATAATGTACATTGTAATAATTATTATTCGAATCTATTTTAAAAGTAATAATCTTTTGAACACTACATTTACATTTTTGGCACAGAAATACAATTTATTAAGAATTTTAAATTTGTCTAATAAGAACAAGGAATTGAAAAATGAATTCGGTGGTGAAATAACAAAAACTGTAATAATAATGGATTTATAGTATATAATTTGTGTAGTTATAATATGGACGTGTAAAATCATGCGACGTTGAAGAATAATATTAATTTGATAAATGGAATTGAAAATAACCATGTAATAAATTTAATATCAAAACGTTAAGATGATATTTATGAACCTTGAAACCAACAAGAGAAAATTATAGAAAATTAAATTTATCATGTTCATTAAATAATAATGCATGGTAAACATGTGTAGTTGAAATGCAATCCGATTTTAAATATTATGATTTATGAAGTATTATTAATTCATTAAATTTGTAACTCAGATATATTATGTTATCTCGCCACCTCATGCATAATAGGTATATAACGGAAAAAAACGTATCGAAAAAAAATATACAACAAATAGTATATAATAAATAATGTTAGAACAGTTTGATTATTGGTTTTTAAACAACCCATAAAATTATGTGATATACATATAGGCCAGTGATACCCAATCTTTTTTTTCGGATAAAATATTGCCTTTGTTCGGGCCTCATCAGCAATAATATAAATTTAGTATTTCATTACTATAATATTATTGTTCCTACTCATCGTATGCCCATAGTTTGACGTTACTTTTACGCATTATACGTATTTTTACATTTTACAATACCCATCTTGGTTTTATTATATTTCATAAATATTTATGTTTGATTATTATATTAACATATTATCCATAAATTCAAAAATATTTTTACATAATTAAAAAAAAACCTGGTGACGCTCTGCGGTACAGTAGGTTACAAGTGGGTCACCATAATGAATAGTGTTAAATTTAAATTCAATAATATAACATTATTATATACGAAAAACGATTCTGAACGGATACGGTTTGTCGGCCTAATATATTTTGTATTAGGTACATATATTTAGGTATACATTGTTATAATTAATGAGGTAATAAGTTTAATTAATATTATTTCTATATTATCATATTTTGCTGCGAGTTACATCCAAAAGTATTTGAATAATAGAAGTTTTAAGTACCCACGAATAATATTTTTATATTACACATAAATATAATAAATTTAGTTTCATCCAAATTTTAACTTAACATAACTATAAAAAAAACTGAGCTAAAATATATTTTAGATATTTTTGCTTTCTGAATTAAATAATAAACGTGGAACCTTGTTTAAATTTTTAATCTTTAGTTATAAAAGTTGAATATTTTATACATTTCTAACTACAAAGTAATTTGTTAATTTTCAATTTGATAAATTTTATCAAAATGCGAACTTTAAATTCTTATAAAAAAAATCATGCCTAAATATTTTCAATATTATAAAAATAAAAAGCATATCTTACAATTTTTATTGCATACAAATCCTAGCCCTGGTTATAACAAATCTTATATTAATTTTTTAAATGTAAGATATAAAAAGAAATTTTTTATACATTTCTAACTTAATGTAATTTGCAAATTTTCAAAATTCGAACATGAGACGTTCATAAAAAATTCTTATGGATTTACTCTCAACTTTTTTAATTTCCACAACTACTTACAAGGAACTTTGTATCACATTTCCAAAATTTTTGACCAATATAAATTTTTTTTATCGACATTAATGAAAAAAAACTATTAACAATCAAAATTTCATATGCCTATAAACAGCTCAATATGAGGCAATAATTTTTGAAAATTCAATACCAAAAATGCCCTAATAAACATTCAGTGAACATTTCTATGGTAATTTTTTTTAGAGTTACCAACACCAAAAACCAAAACTGATTTTGGGGAAAAAAATCACGTTTTTCCTTAATTTATATTTGTTTTTCCCGGTGCTTATTAAAATTACTGGGAATTTTCATTGTTATTTCCCAAATGCACTAACTAGATTCACTTTCCCACCGGAAAATATATTGAAGTTGAATATCAGAAAATCAACAAACCAATACCCTTAAAAATTGTATAAAATTAATATTTTGGTTGTAAGTATTTAAGAAAACTTTTACATAAGTTGATAAAAAAATGGTTAATGCTGCGCCATGCTGGGTTGAATAAAACACTCACTTAGAAATTAAAATTATTATTGAACTTATGGTCCCTCAAACATAATAATCTATAGTGGCCCATGATTGAACCATTACATTTTACTGAACCATTAAATTAATACATTCATTTAAGCTTATATATTATAATTAATTCACATTTTAATTTAACGCATTACGAAACAAATGATTGATACGCGTGGCATGTATATTTAATCTAAAAAAATAATTACATGATAGTACCTAATAATGGTAATCATTAAAATTATTGAATATTTGTATAAGTTTATCTAATGTCTGATCCTCTAATGTTAACTTTCTTAAATTTAAATGTTATACATTAATAAATTATTTTAATATATGATATGCACTAATGAGCATATCATTAAAGTGTTTAGAAGTTTAATTGTATTACTATCAGTATCAAAGCATTTTATCTAGGATTAATTAATTTTAAAAGTAACATCCAACCAAAAGTAAAAAAACAAGTTCTCTAATGGCTGATAGGTATTAAATATGTATAAGGTACGAATTTATTGTTTTTCTTATGAAATAATTGAGTCACAATGACGTAATATTATGCGTAGTAATTTTGACGAATACAATATTTAGTAAAATTGCTACAATTTTTTGTTTTTAGGTTTCGTCATACAATTTTCATTCCTTGCAGCTTTTTTCTGGCTAAACGTCATGTGTGCGGATATTGCATGGACATTTAGGTCGGTAATATTTTTATTGATTATACAAAAATGCAAATAACATTATCAATATATTATACATCAATTTACGTTTTATTACAGTGGATTCAGGCTACTTTTGTCTTCAAATAAAATTGAAAACGAAAAGAAAAAATATGTCATTTATTCAGCTTATGCGTGGGGTTGTAGCATTGGAATCACAATTTTAACAGCTTTGGCTGAATTCACCAAATTATTTGGCGATAGTAGTTATAAACCAAATTTTGGAAATTACGATTGCTGGTTTTCTAGTAAGTAATAAGCATAAGTGCTTATTAGAGCATAACACTATTTAGTATTTCTATCTATGCAAAAAGAATGAATGACTAAAAAAAATACGATTCGATATGATAATAATATGATGTACTTTAATATTGTTAATCAAGTTTTTATTATTTGTACCTATTGTTTTTAATTATTGATTTTTGTTTTTCAGATAAGTTATCAGTCGGAGTATTCTTTTATTTACCAATTGGATTACTTCTGTCCACCAATTTTATACTGTTCTTATTCACTGCTTTTAGAATTGTGTTCATCCGAAGGGGTACTTCTAAAGTATTGAATCGCCAACATAACCACAATGATATGAGGTAATTATGTTTGAAAATGTGTTATGGTTTGTATTGAGAAATACCAGTGATCAGTGCTGTTGCAGTGGGGGTGAATGAGATTGAACTAAAAATTATTCTTTTTCTTTTTTTCTTAGAACATATATAGGTAGGTATAACGTGGATTTTTGCAAAAATATTATTATTAATTATTGATTTACGAATATATAGCTTATTACGTTCGCAAACATAAATCAAAATGTAATTATTGTTTATGGGTGTGTTATTTATATAATGCTATTGCCTATTTGTACATAGAAAACAAATCACCAAAAATCACGTTTTTTTTTTCAATCGTAAAATAGTACCTAACGATTTAATATATTAAAGCATTTTACCATAGTAATTGTCTGATTAGGTTCTCTACCCGGCGGGCAGCGGACCTATAAAAATATTTTTTTGGTCTACACGTGGTTTGCATATTAATTATCACCTATACGATATTTTATGTTAAGGGACATCCCAACACTAAAAACGAGTTTGCTTAGATTTAATGTATGTCATTATCTAAGAATTAATATGATGTGGGTCTCAAGCTTTAACAATAATATTATGCAATGAGCTAGGTACAGACGTTTGAAAATATACATGTTACTTCATAGAGCCTAAGTAGATACGCCGGCGTATGTTTTAAAATTGTAAGATTTACACAACGATTTCAATCGTTAAAGATAGTATTTTTCTCATTTTTTTTTTTTACCTTAAGTGTTTTTTTATGTTCATGAGGCTATATTTATCTATGTGGTTATAATTTCGATATACTTCTAGTTTTTTTAAACTAGATAAAACTATTATGGTAAATTTCATAAAATTCGGTTTATACTGCAATACAACTCAACTCTCAAAACTCAAAATATTTTAAGTTCTGGTGCTAGTGCGGTCGTCCGCATGGGGTGTCGCCCTGTCGGATATTTATAACAAATAACAATTAACAATGGGTTTGGTTGACTATAGGCGGAGGTATAGGACTATAGGAGGGACCGACGCCGTCTACATATTGTGTATAATGTATATTGTCATGCCGAAGGTCACAGGTTCCTGGAATGACATAATAAAGTATAAACCTAAGAAAATAAACCGATAAGAGGCTTTCAACTACCAATATATTCTATACATAATACCTTTTACAATACATTAAAGAAATTTCACTCCCAGCAGTATAATTTTATTCTAAAGACAGGATAGGTACATTAGGACCAGTCTTATAACGTTTTCGGCCACAATAATAATAATTTATTATCGACCCTTGTCATACTGAGTCGCCAGAGCGTCGCCACTTTTAATAGTAGGTAATATCGTCGACCCAATCTATATGTTATATTGTATTTAGTCACAGACAGTTGAAAGAAACTAACATGGTACACAAAAAAATGATTATAAATACAAATGAACGTTTTTACAAAAGGTCCCGGACAGCAGGCAATAAGGTTATCGTATATAACACGTAAAAGCGATTTCTTTCCAATGCTTCCATTGTGGCCATTAGTATGTACATATTTATAGTTTCATAAAATATAAGAAAAAAATATACCTACACATTGAAAATAACAATACATATTATTATGTTACTTCTTGGTTATCGCCCTGCTATCGTCTGTAGTACTCAATGGCGCCTTTGACCTCTCCTTGGCCATTTTTAACTGTATAATGTCTGAATGTACTAATATATATCATGCACATGGCTTATAATATTAATAGTATAAAATATTTCTAGAATAATATTTTTTCAACTAACGATAATGACGTATTTGTTGTAAAAATCTAATGCCAGTATTAAATGGTGCGGGAAATGACTCATTTATTTTATTTGAAATATCTATTTAACAACTATTCTTTTTGAGTTTTCATAAAATGCCAAGGCTGGGCAAGTTAACGACTTTTTTTAACTCGTTAAGTTAAGTTATTTTAAAATAATAAAGTTAAGTTAAATTAAAAGTTAATCATATTTTTTACGTTAACTCGTTAAGTTAAAAGTTAACTTTGAAAAAAAAGTAACTTAACTTAGTTTAAAGTTAAAATTTTCTATTTTGCAAAAATAAAAAATTGCACACATAATATTAGTTTTTTTACACTCAAGAAAAATACTAGGGAAATTTTTTAAATGAGACATAAAAGTATTAACTAGCTATCAAAAAACCTACTTTTCCAAAATAAATCTTAGTCCTGAACTCATACTCAAATCAATTTACCCAAGTGGTACATCAAAAAAAAAAAAAAAACACCTTAATAGTTTTCTCCCAACTGCCAAGATACCAATATTTTTAATTGATTCACATAAATTTTAAAAATCAAACAGGCAGTACCTACCACCCAAATATATTTTCTATACTGGGGACAAAATGCAGCCACCGTGTAGTTTTAAAACCTAGGCTCAGCACAACATGAACAATTATTATCAGTAAAAATATAATTACTTTGTACTATATTATTACGTTCACGACAACATTCGACATCCACTTCAGGGAACCCATTTAAACGATAATCTGTATAACCTATCTTTGAAAATATTATTAATACAATTTATAATGATAAACGTGTAGGTAGATATTATTTAGCCCATATAATGACTATTAAAGTTATTTTTCATATTATTTTCATCTACAGGAAATTCATATTAAAATAGTAAATCATAAAATATACTAAAAACCTCATTAATAATTTGCATTTTTCTTTGCACTAAAATTAACTTAATTTAGATAATTTTAAATAAAATTAACTTAAAGTTAACACGTTAATCTTAAAAAAAAAGTAACTTATTAAGTTAAAAGTTAATTTGTAAAAAAAGTAACGAGTTAATTAACTTAATTAAAATTAACTTAACGTTTTAACTTAATTTTAACTTTTAACTCGTTAATGCCCAGCCTTGTAAAATGCCATATATCTATAGGTATATATAATATATATAATTTTAATAGGTTACAGAAGATACAATAAACAATTCCTAAAGTGTTATACATATCAAAAAAAAAAACAAAATCATCATAGGTAGTTTATTTTTATAAGCCTTTCTAAGTTTTAATAAATCAATATTTCATATCTTTGATGACTCGACAATACAACGCAGGGGCGTACTCAGGAATTTTCAATGGGGGGGGTTGAACATTTTGTTTTTTATCACGGGAACTTTGTCACCTCCTTTTTAAAAATATTAAATATAAACATGGTAATGTACTCTACAGAAAATAAATTTCAAAAATGAAAAATGTTTATTTAAAGAACAATATTCCGATTCCGATTGATTAACGTGTTCATGTTTTCTTTTAAGATTATTGTAGGGTTCAATGTACTTAGAACTTCCAGGCACACTAGTAAAAAATGTTATTATTTTATTTTTATTTTTATTTTTTGACTTTAAGCGTTTATGGTAAAAGAATAAATACTTAAATTTTAATGCTATCATTAATATTTTTCAAAGGTATATTAAATTACTATAAATTGTAATAATTAATCTGTGTGAAATAGACAATAGTACAAGTAATTTTAGTATATACCTAATTTAGAAAAAACAATTAATAATTTTGATTAAGGGGGCCTTGACAGTTTTACATTAAATTTAGGGAGCCTCACTTCAAAAAAAATTGAGAAATACTGTACTAGATTATAGTGTAAATTATCTAAATATAATAAATATAACTAGCTGTCCCGGTAAAAGATCATGTTTTTAATGTTGCATTTCAATTTGAAAACTACATATACATTTTTTACTGTTTATTTTTCTAACATAATTTATATTTATTGAAGAAATATATAAACAAATTTTTTGACAAAGGTTGGTTGCTCAATACACAGTCAAATATTAACCAAATATATCATAACGCATTATGTAAAAACAAGAATGATATTCACTTACAAAAGAAAAAATGAGCAAGGTGCTAAAAACAAGAAAACACCAAAAAAACTAAACGATTTCAAAATTAGTTTGAAGTTTATAAGATAACTATTATTGAATAATATTATAATATAAATAATATACCTAATCATAAAATAAAATATGCAAAATATTTTAAACATGTTTTTAGAGTTTTTTATGAGCATTAGAAAATAATACTCCACTCTACCAGACTACTATTAGAATTAGGAGTAGAATCATAATAGTTTTAATTTAATTTAAAGATTTTAAGAAGGATGCAAATATTCAAAGAAGTGACTAAATTATACATAATATTTTTTTCTAATTGATGTCTACTCGATAAAAATATTGCCAATGAATAAAATGCAAATGTAATGTATAATTACAGGCTCCAAAATTATTATACCAACTCAATTAAAAAAAAACTTTTTATGATTCAATGTTTTTGTAAATACTGACTTCAATTTTAAAAAATATTAGCATTTTAATTCTGAAGTTTCAAGACATTTTGCATTTAACAGAATGAATATACAGGCCTTCGTAGGACAAGAAGCGCGCTCTGGTGACTATAGAACTGTGGTAATATTTTCAATCAAGAGTGTATACGTATAGGGGTCCAGAGTGACGACAACTTATCAATACACCTTGTATGTTTGATTTAAATTTTATCTGGTTATCATAATACAGTTCTTAACAGATAATGGTTGTAATCGTTGTATAATGCATGTTGATATAAAATTGAAAATAAATATATTTGTTTATTTTTTCCCTTCTTAAAAATTTTTTTTTAGAAAATTGCTCCTGTGAATTATATTATGTATAAACAAGAACGCACAAAAGTGCATCGGTTAGTAAGGTCATGGGGGGGGTTCAAACCCCACGAACCCCCCCCTTGAGTACGCCCCTGATACAACGTATCTCGATTTTGGTTATTGTACAGAAGAGATTTTTAATCGATTTATTCCAACACCAACCATGATTACCATCAAATATTAGTAAAGATGATAGCACGTGATAACAACTCTGGATTATTATATAATCGAGATACGTTGTATTACCGTGTCATCAACGATATGTTAAATAATATTAAAACATATTCAATGACAGGTAATATACCTATAATATATAAATT